GGCGCAACATACGAAGAAGCTCTGGCAGTACACCAGCTTAATAATGTAGGTTACAAAGTAATACTTGGCGGTACGACTATACATAATTCGGAAAGTTTCATAAATGAGGTTTTAAACGCCACTGAGGGCATACAATTCAAACATACCAAAACAATGTTAAAATACATTTCCAGCGACAATTATTAGACTATGCCTCATTGGCTGAAGCGGGCTTATTGGCTTTTTTCTTGTACAATGTGTTTATTATTATATTAATTATTTATAAGTACATATTTATAGGCCTATGTTTACCTTACCCATCTATAGAAGTATTTATTAATTGTATTATCGATGTATTTTATTTGTTATAACACTACTGATATACAAAAATAAAAGTTCTTGTACTATCACAGAAGCACTCACCACATATTCAACCCATAAAAACCGTGTTATAACAGCATAAAAAAAGTCACCAAAGAATTTTTGGGGAGTGAGCTGGATTGACAAGGTCTGGATTCCGTTCCGGTTACGTAGACCCGACTGTCGTGGGAACGATAAAACCTTCAAATTCATGTGTTCAAGTTATCGGCTATGTGGAGCGTAACCACTTATGATATTCTCATACTCCACCCGTATGGAAATTTCGAATGAAATCACTGCTTTTAGTTGTCCATTTATGTATTAGCATTTATTGAGTTTCTTTGAGGTTTACAATTGTTTTCATATTGTTTAAACTAACTTCCTGTAAAAGTATGCAGACGGCTTACTTTTTTAACTTATTAACCGCAGTCGAGTAATAACAAATCATTGTCCACTTAGATAATTTTGGGTTCCAATATTTAAATAAATCTTGTGAAACAAAAAATATTTATTTTTTTTTTTAACTTAAGATCGTATAACAAAGATCCTATTGTCATTTACAAATAAAGTCAAAATGGTCCTTATAACTGTTAAGTTTTTTGAAGGCGCCGTGTTGCCCGGCGTATGGGTCGATCTCCTGCAGCACCGCTGACTGCAGCAGGCGCTGCAGGCGGTGCAAATATATTTGCAGCAACTGTGGGTGCCGCGCCTGGCACTGGGGTGACACCACTCGAGGTACCAGCTGAAAAACTAAATGGGGCCACAGAAGTTTGCTGTGCGCTCTGTGCACCACCTCCGAAAATGCTACTAGCATTTACTGCCGGAGCTACCGAGGCAGTGTTGCTGCTGCCAAAAGTGAACGTTTTGTTTGCTGTTGCAGTCATATTAGCGCCACCAAAACTAAATGGAGCTGCCGTTGAGGATGCAGCTGCGCCACCGTTGGATGTACCACCAAATGCGAACGGTGTGGTGGAATTGGAAGCTAATGTGGAAGCAGCGACCGCCTGTTTACTGCCTGTCGTGCTGGCGTTGAAAGAAAAGCCACCAGAAGCCGGTTTACTTGCTGCAGCGGCGAAGGGATTTGATGAAGGGTTGCTGCTTGTGGCCGCACTGCTGCCGAAGCTGAATGTTTTGTTACCTGGATTGCTGTTGGCAGCTGCAAGTGCACCAAATGTATTTGTACTGCTCGTGTTGCTGGCTGCGTTTGTTGCAGCTCCACCAAATAGAGACTTTGCGGCATCGTTGGTATTTGTGGGTACCCCACCAAAGTTAAATGCAGGTTTCGCTATGCCTGTGTTGGCTGTTGGCGCTGCTTGATTAGTAAGGCCAGTAGATGGAGATCCGAATATATTGGTCGATTTCGTATTGCCTGCGTTGGCTGCAGCAGCGGTAGCTGCCCCAAAGCTGAATCCGCCAGAGTTGCTCCTGGTGGTCGGTGGTGCAGAAGACGCTACCGCTGGCTTATTGACGTTGGTGGCACCAAATGCGAAGGGTGTTGTAGACGGCGCATTAGTTACTCCGAATGCAGATGCTGTGGGAGTCGCACCGGCCGCACCGAAGGCTGGAGTGCCAGCTTGGGCACCAAACGTGAATGCACCCGTTTGGGTGGAAGTGGGATTCATGGCACCTGCAGTATTGTTGCCGAATAATTTGTTCTCACTTGTCGTAGAAGTGCCACCGAAAGCGAATAAATTGCCGCTGGAAGAGTTACTCTTCCCTGCGACGCCAAGTGGGTTAGCAGCGTTCTCTCCAGCGCCGCCGAAGCTGAAAACAGGCTTATTGGTGCTCGAGCTTGTTGTAGTCGCTGTTGTCGCACTGATTTGCGTACTCGCGCCAAAAGCGAAGGGAGTGGCAGCTGTGGCAGTTGCGGTGGTGGCTACTGCAATGGATTTCTGACCACCAAAAGCGAAAAGATTTGTTGCTGCT